CACTATAAATAGCTCATTTGTTTATTTAACAACATTTTATTATTCTGTAAGTCATACAGGAATTAGACTGAACACAACATACGTTTTATGTGGTGATGGATTTTAATTTGTTGTGGTAAAATGTAAATACATCCATCACTCGATTTAGGGACGTGATTCATTCGATGAAAATTGTTCGTAAGATGAAAACGCGTAATTCGAAAATAAAATTCCAATTAATTTTAATATAAAAAATCCTGAATGGTTCCCGACTGCCAGATAAATCACCCAGGTTTTTTCCCCCCACATATGCTGGAATGCTATAAAATTACAAAAATAACACAGTATTGTTTCCTGTGATAGTTATTACCTATTCACCTTTGTAAAGCACTATTTAACTGTCAATTCAAACGTTTGCGATTTCCAGCAGTAACTGTATAGTTGCAGTATAAACATTAGAATTTACGTAAACAATTATTTGTATTAAAACCTTAATTACTTTACTTATAATAATCATAACGAATCAACGATAATTCGTTAAGCGAACTAAGAACATGCATCAAAAAATAATTTTTCAGAACTTTTCCAAAAATTGAAACAATTTCTGTTTAACATTCTGAAGCCTGTGGTAACTATATGTAGGTACCAAGTATTTTGACAGACAGTAGTTGTAAGTTGTGCCCACAAAGTGTATTTATCAGTTTCTTATGAGTCTCGGATCAAACATAAATAATTTTCAAAAACATCGTTAATAAATTGTTGTGAAATATTCTAGGTTATTTCGCTTTACGGTCTGAATGTTTAAGAATTATTCAAAAGAGTTTCAGCTTCACTGGGTTAACTGGGAGATATAGAAACTCGTAAATTCTTGATTGTTTTCTGAAATTCTTACTATTATTTGATGATTTGATATTATTTTATTAATGTTACTATGACATACAAAATGTTAATGTGAAAATGTACTCTGTAGCCCGAAAGCAACAAGACCTTATGTAATGTAGACCACAAAGTGGTAGCACCGGGCTCAGTCATAAATTTAACACTGACCCAAACCTAAACTACGTTGGCAGTTTACCAGAACACATCTTTAACCACTGCATAATGGAGACCCTGAAGGCTGACTTGTGTGTGGTTTCCTGTACACAGAACGAGTGGTAATACAACTGATCATTTGATGAGATGCCCAGTACGTTAGTGATGGCTACAAGTTGATTGTCGGTAGCCGGACGGCAGTATACTTAGTATCCAATAGAGT